TACGTCTTCTGCGTATACTTATTTGCATATTCAACTTCACCAGTATCTGAGAACATTTATATACGAAGTAGGGGCGGGGATTAAGAGTTACGAAGGTAAGATGAAAGCATGATTGAGCTGGCTAGCCATTGTGTTTAGTTTGCTAGGAGTCCAGTGTAGCCAGGGGCACCTGGTAGACTCAGGAAGGGGAGGGCTTGAGAGACTAGCTGTCTAGCTGTACTGAAAAGAAAGGGCAGACTTACTGACTGTAAGGAAGAAGGGGACTGTTTGAAAAGCAGCCGTGTGATGGAATGTGAGATGGAGCGGTCAGAGGTAGCTTCTGTAGTGTCTGAGGTCTTGCTACGTTAATGTTGTGATGCCCAGTTGTGAATTGGAAGAGACAGCATGTGGAGTTACAGTTGCTGGTGGTAGCCAGAGATGAGAGAGAAGGCAGCTGTGAACCAGGGCTCAAGTCTTTAGGGGATACACAGGTTCCCCTTATCAGATAAGAGGACTATGAGAAGGTTCTGGAAGGGCTGGCATAAGTCACTGCCTCCTAAGAGCATTCTGGGGACTAGCAGCAGGAAGACAATAGAACCCCAGTGTGTTTATTATTTACTGCTGTGTAACAAATCCCCTCAAAACTTAGCAGCTTAAGACAGCAGACCCTTGTTATCTTATAGTTTCTGAGGGTAAGGAATCCAGGAGCAGCTTAGCTGAATGATTTTGGCTCAAGATCTCATGAGGTTACAAACTGTCAGGGCAACAGTTGTTAGAAGGCTCGACTGGGGCTAGAGGATCTGGTTCCAAGTACACTCATGTGGTTGTTGGCAGGAAGTTTCAAATCCTTGTCGCCTAGGCCCTCTGCAGAACTCCTTGTGATGTGGCAGTTGGTTTCCCTCGAGCTGGTGATCCAAGAGAGGGAGGGTGTATGAGAGTGATTCCAGTGGAAGCTGCAGTGTCTTTTGTATACAGCCTAATTTAGGAAATGATATACTGTCATTCTTGCCATATTCTGTGGGGCACATAGACCAACCCTGGTACAACATGGGGAGGTGGAAAGGAGGCTTGTTCTAGGCAAGGAATAAAATTGGTGATGGAATTTAGTTTCAGTGGAGTAGGCTCTCTAAAGAACAGAATTGAAGGGGCCAGTAGGGAGACAGGAAGGAAGAGAATACGAGTCTGGGCTGAGAGATGTGTTTGTAGAAAGGGCACAGAGCCTAGTACTTTGGGGATAAGAACAAGAGAACATTACATTTTGGAAATATGTATCTGGGGGCAAGGATTTCAGTTGAATTTTAGATCATGGGCCCTGTTTGATGGAACTACGGACTTTTCAAAATACTGTTTTTAAATGCATAAAATAAAGTTTTTAAATGCATAAAATTCAAAATACTGTTTTTAAATGCATAAAATAAAAAATAAATTTCCACTTTATTATTTTATGCATACAAGGAGACTGTATTGAAATATAGTTATTAGAATATTAAACTTCTGATGTATAAGAAACAGCATTTTAAATATAGTCAAGAGGTTAGTGAAAATGGAAGGATTTAAATTTAATTGAAATTCCTATTCTAGTTCATGGACCCCTTCCCAAGTTCATGGGCCCTAAGTTAAGAACCAGTAGCCTAAGGAGATTGTGGGGTTGAAAATGCTGGAAGATGAGAGGTGTATGCGTGAGGGTGGTGGGGGAAGGAGGAAACTTAAAGACCATTCAGTGGCTGTAAGGTTTCTCTTGCGGTGTTTGCAGTTTCGGGTTTTAGTCCAAGTGGTTTTTGAAAAAAAAAATCTTCCTACATTTTTGGAAAGGGGCTGAGGGGTAGCAGATTGGAATAAGCTGTTTTTAAATTTACTTTTGGATTCCATGTTAACGCTGTTATTTGAGAAATAGTTATATTCTAAAAATTTAGTTTTTGGCTTTCCATAATTTCAGTGTTGCTTAGATTGGGTTGGGTTCATGGAGTTAAGATGCGGTGACAATTTCATTGTTAGTGGTAATCTTGGCCAGTAAATTTAGGAGAATTGAATTTTTGTGTAGGAGTTTTCAGAATAGCAATGTCTGATGGTTGTGTTGGGTATGCAGGGTTTTTGAAACACTGTTTACTTACCTTAATAGCAGTTTGGAAGTCTGCATTCAGGAAAGTCATTCAGGTGAGTGGCTGCAGTCTGTGGGGACAGCAGAGAACAGAGCTGACTGGCTCACTGAGGTCACACCAGACTCGTTTCCTCTCAACTTTGATTTCAGAATCAAAATATTATCTTATATTTAAGATAAATAGCTTCACATCATTTGTTGTATTCATTACTTAAAAAGGACAGGAAAGGTCTGGCTTGGAGGCTCTCTGTGGTAGTGCTCATGACACCAGTGCGCAGATTTCATTCCTGTCGGGTTGTACTACTTCAGAGGTTTGTTGTCTGTCCTACACTTGGAGAAGCCAAATGCTTTTTTAAAAAAAAATTCGTCATTATAACAAATATGGTGGAGGGATTTGAGGTCACTGGGAACAAACTCTTAAAAGATACCATCCTTTCTTTATTCTAAGTCAGGGTACTTGACATATTCTTAACAGAGCAGAAGGGTGGTTTGTACTTTCCTTTTTCCGTGAGCTGGAATTCCCTGTTTAAAAATGTTTTTAATTGGGGATGTGATGAAGATTATTCTTACTTAGTTTTCCGTTCTCCGTTCCCCTTCTATGATGAACCTTTGTGAACAACTTTGTTTTACATAAATTTTTATCTTTGTATAAACTCCACTAAAAAGTAGAATTACTGAGTCCAGAGGGTAAAGCATTTTTATTGCTCTTTTACAGGAAAATTGTACTGATATGTACACTGTTGAGGGGCTAACACCCAGTACCTGAGTCGTGTATTTAAAACAGAAACACCTTGAGTTACTGGGAAACTTTGGTCATTTCTTCTTAATACTGTTGTTTTCTGCTTGCACTGATGATAACTGAGATGTAGAGGAAAGTTTGTTTTGTATTTAAGGTGTCTCAGCAAGCTGCAAAGTGTATCCCAGCAATGGTGTGTCCTGAACTGACAGAGCAGATCCGGCGGGAGATAGCTGCCTCTCTCCATCAGAGAAAGGGCGATTTCGCTTGCTATTTTCTGACTGACCTTGTAACATTTACATTGCCAGCAGGTAACTCCGAATCGCAGTGTGAAAATAAATTTCCACTTTATTATAATTTTTTTATGTCTGAATGAAAATGTTTCTGTTAAAAAACAGATACCTTAGGTATTATGTGTGGATCTTAAATTACTTGATTATCCTATTTATACTGGGGGTGACCAGTCCAAGGGCCATTCATAAACTAATGTTTTAGATCTGAGAGGAACACAGTGGATAGTAACTGACTTCTTTGTGGGTCTCAGATATCAAAGAAGAAAAAAATATTTTACCCATTTCTTTTTTTCTTTTTCCTTTTTTTTTTTCAGAATATCAGTCTGCTTTTTTTCTTTTTCTTTTCATGTGTGTCTATTGTTTTTAAATTAGAGAACCGTTGGTTACCTGATACTAGAAGATAATATCAGAACATAGATTTTTTATGGGTAGTCAGTTATTTGAATCAGAGATACTGGCATTGTTTTGAAAATTTTATTACTTTCTTTCTCATTATTTCAATTTCTACTGTTTCTGTGAATCAACTTTTCATTTTTAAATTCCATGACAAGTGGAAATGTCTTCCAGGATGTTTTTTTATCTGTTAGCATTGAATAAATGGACCCAACACCAAAAGTTTCTAAATAAAACTTACATTTTGGTTCTGAGTGTTTGGAACTTTTTTATATTCAGATGTAAAAGGGGTATTTACAAATGGTAGGAAATAACAGCTAAGACTTTTAGAATCAAATTTAATTTGAAATGCACTTTATGTATTTAAACTTAATACCCCAAATGATGACTAGATTTTTATTTTGAATTGGTTTCACAGTTAAAAACATTTTTTGTAAGGGTAACTTCTTACTCTGGACCACTCAATTAGTAAACTGAATACAGCATAGAGAATTTGAGGAAGATGACAAAAATAGGGATCTGTGTACCAAAATGAATTAACTTTTATAAGAGGATTCTAAAGTTTGAAATGAATAAGTCTGAGCAGAGGTTGAAAGTGTGGGGGGAAGAGGAACAGACAAAAATGTGTTTGTTGTTGAATATCAGATAGCCCTGTTCTGTTTTTGCTTTTATTTCAGCTTTATTGAGTTATCAGTGACATAGAAAATTGTAAGATATTTAAAGTATGCGTCATGGTGATTTGATTCACACATACATTGTGAAAGGATTTTCCCCCATGTAGTTAATTAACACATCCATCACCTCACATTCATTTATTCATCCAATTGATTGATTGATTGATTGGTGGAGGTGAGAACATTTTTCTGTTCTTTTAGCGAATTTCATTTGTACACTACGGTGTTACTGACTTGTCACCATGTTTCACGTTAGATCCTCAGCCTGTAGTTTGTACTCTTACCTGTTTCTCCCTATCCCACCACCCTTGCCAACCACTTTTTTTTTAAGATTCCACATATAAGTGATACCATGTAATAGTTGTCTTTCTCTGTTGAGCTTATTTCACTCAGCATAATGCTTTCAAGGCCCTTCCGTATTGTTGCAAAGGTAGGATTTTCTTTTTTCTCGTGGCTTAATAATATTGCATTGTATAGATAGATCACATCTACCTTTCATTATTCATCCATTGATAGACACTTAGGTTGTTTCCGTGTATTGGCTGTTGTGAGTAATGCTGCAGTAAACATGATGGTACAGATATCTTTGATATCCTGTTTTCATTTCCTGTGGCAATACACCAAGAAGTGGGATTGCTAGATCATATGATAGTTTTACTTTAATTTTTTGCGGATCCTCCATACTGTTTTCCACAGTGGCTGTACCAGTTTATAGTTCCCACCAGTAGTGCACCAGAGTTTCCTTTTCTTTGCATTCTTGTCAACATTTGTTATCTCTTTTTGGTGATAGCTATGCATAATTATTGATCTCTTCATTATTTTTGGATGGATCATAGTTTTTTGATAATGAAGTACAGAAAGGAAATACTTTACACACACACATGATATACATGCATGTTTTTTAAAAGAAGCTATTTGACAGCCTTCAGTGGAAAGGGTGTTGTTTTAGAGGAGGTTACTGTTAGATGCTGGTATCACATTTTATTGTTATAAGGCATGAGAAGATCTTTTAAATCTGATTTTTCTTTGTAGATATTGAAGACTTGCCTCCATCAGTCCAAGAAAAATTATTTGATGAGGTGCTTGATAGAGATGTTCAAAAAGGTAAGCATGGAATTAGTTAGTATAATTTAACTTTGATTGATTTCAGTAAACTTTTTGCTTTGCTTTGGAAGGTTTGAAGTAGTTTGGTGTATGGTCAACATGTTTTATTTTTACTTTAAATAGAAAGTGTAAAGTTTTTAAGAATAGTGTTGTGCTGTTAAAAATGCTCATTCACATCTCCTGTGAGAGTGAACAAACAAGGACAGTATAAAAGTTTTTAAACCTTGGTTTTCTATTTCCTGTTCTAGAATGAGTATATTTTCATATTAAACATTCCGAGAAAATAAATTATAAGGAATATAAGAGTTGAGTAAATTATTTTAGAGCCTCAAGATATTTCAGCTACTCAAGGTTTATATTTTAGTTGATCGGAATTATTTAGGTCTTCATTAGTAAATTACATATAAACCTGTTAACATCTAGAGGATAGGTTATTTCTTCACTGAATATTTCTTAATTGTAGAGGCATAAAAATGAACATGTTATTTAAATTACTCATAGAGTTAGAAGAAGAATCTCCAATTATAAACTGGTCCTTGGAATTGGCTACACGTTTGGATAGTCGACTGTATGCACTTTGGAACCGGACTGCAGGAGACTGCTTACTTGATTCAGTACTACAAGCCACCTGGGGCATTTACGACAAGGACTCGGTGCTTCGGAAAGCCCTGCATGACAGCCTGCATGACTGTTCCCATTGGTGAGCTGGCATCCTTCCCTTTTTGAATCCAGGAGCGCGCTGGCCGAATTGTTGCCTCACAGTGGTGGGATGCTTTTCGTCTGCTACATTTTCTGTGGCAGCTGTGGGGAGACAACTTTGACTTCGGACATTGAGACACTTTAAGCATCTCAATGGTTTTTACATATTTTTGTTGAGCTTTAAAATAGAAATAAAATAGTATCATTAATGGAGAAATGCAGTGTCTTTGATTTTACCCAACCTCTTAGATGCTTTTGTGTGCTTTTCTTTTTAATTTGTAAACCAATAGTAACCAATTGAAATCAACTGTTCTCATTACTAGTGTTTAAAGTTTTGATGAAAATTGATAGGTGGTGAATCAAATTGTGTCTGAGGATGTGTTAAAAGATGTCTGCTAGCAGAATGGAGGCTAATTTTAATTTGAAAAATATACTGCAAGCCAGGTGAAATTAATAAAATGTTAATCTTTTCATGTGAATTGCTTAAAGACCACGTTAAATACATGATTGGAACATTAAATGTGCTGTTTATAAAAGGCTTCCTTGTTTACTGTCTTGCTTTTTAGGTTTTATACTCGTTGGAAAGATTGGGAATCCTGGTATTCTCAGAGCTTTGGTTTACATTTTTCCCTGAGAGAAGAGCAGTGGCAAGAAGACTGGGCATTTATACTCTCTCTTGCTAGTCAGGTAAGAGCTCTTCTTGCAGCTTCTGTGAGAAAAGAAAGGCTCGTGGTCTGAATCCCTTGACTTGTGAAGACCATGCTGGAGGCTGTGTGGTAGGAAGGGAAAGAGTGCTTGACTCGGCCCCAGGGGGCCCGGATTCTGTCTGTGACTGCAGTTTATCAGCTGTATGACTGGAGGCACATCCTCACTGCAGAACAGAGAGGGCAGTGTGTTTCTCATGTTAAGTGATTAAAAAGTTGTCAAAATTGAAAATTGTACTTGATGGTTCTAAGCACTTAATTGAAGAGCAATCCAAAGAAATATTTTTCCTCTCAGAAAGGTGGCCTTATACCTGTTTTTACCTGCCCACAGGTTAGCTGCCATTCAGTGTCCAAGGGGCACCTCCCCAGAGTCACTGAGCTGGGGTGGGCTGTCCTGTGCTGGTGCCGAGCTGAGGCCCTGACGGTCAGGGTGTGCTCTTCATGAGGCTCCCTGGTAGCGAGACTGTGTCATGTTGCAGGCTGCGGAGGAGGTGCCGTGGGCAGGAGTGCTTAGCTAACCTGGGAACGAGCTTTTATAAATTAATTGTGTAGGGTTGTCCCTCAGACTCATGCTAGTTTTATTTTGTGAAGCGTATTAATGTACTGAACTGTAAAGTTCAAATATATGCACGACAAACCACTCCTTTTCTTTGCAGAAAGCACTGTAGTTCTCTAGTGCCCTGTGAAGGAAGCGCCTTCTGTCTTTGGGCCATGCGGGCAGGGTTCAGTGACTGTCCTACATCTGAGACGTACCTCTGAGAAGGTGCTCTCAAAGTCGTTGTGGGAGAAGGGGGCCTGCTGAGTGTCCTTGCGTCAGCTGACGGAGCAATTTGCAGCCATTATGTTCATTCGAAATAACTAAGCTCATCTTTTTACTCTGAGAGGACCTTGTTGTAGGTAGTACTTTCACAGGTAGCTTGACTAGAAGACAGTTGTATGAACCAAGCTCCTTTCGCTGTCTCAATCTCTTGAACCTGAGATTAAGATTGATTTAACTGCACCCGCTCAGTTCTTGAGTTTGGGTAGTAAGGGACACCTGTACGTAAATGTTCCAGTTTGCTTTCATTGGACTTTGCTGTTTGAGGAATCAAATGCTGCTTTAGCTTGACAATAGTAGTAGTATATTATTTTAATGAGCTGAGATGTACTGAAGGAGGGTTGCACTGTGTCGCACACAGCAGTCTTGCAGAGCAGTGATAAATCTTCTAAAGAGAATTTGCTTTCTTTTATTTTGTTTTGTGTAGCCTGGAGCAAGTTTGGAACAGACTCACATTTTTGTACTTGCACATATTCTTAGACGACCAATTATAGTTTATGGAGTGAAATATTATAAAAGTTTCCGGGGAGAAACTTTAGGATATACTCGGTTTCAAGGTAAGCCATTCTCATGAGTGGGAAGTTTTTTATTATTTTAATGCACATTGCAGCCATGTCCTGAAATCCCATTCTTCCCTCTTTCCAGGTGTTTATTTGCCTTTGTTGTGGGAACAGAGTTTTTGTTGGAAAAGTCCGATTGCTCTGGGCTATACAAGGGGCCACTTCTCTGCTTTGGTTGCCATGGAGAATGATGGCTATGGTAACCGAGGTGCTGGTGCTAACTTGAACACCGATGATGATGTCACCATCACGTTTCTGCCTCTGGTTGACAGTGAGAGGAAGTTACTCCATGTGCACTTCCTTTCTGCTCAGGAGGTGAGCAGCCCGTTGCTCCTGTTGCCCACTTCAGGTGGCAGCGCTGCACCAGGGCCCTGTCTGGTGTGTCTTCCAGGCGTGGTAGTATCTGCACTGTCACTTCAAATTTTGAACTTGGTTGTAGTGATTGTCACTTTCAAATGTTAAAAAAAATTGTCACTTTCTATAAATATGGGTCAGACTTTGAAATTTACCCTTTCAGAACGCTGTGTGGGGTGTGTTGTGTGGAGATACAGCAGTGAAGTGAAGACCAAAGTCCTTGCCCTCAGGTAGTGGTTAGTGCTGAGGAGAAAAAGTGAAAAGATGGGGGGGGATGCGGGGAGGGGGATCAGGGGACCATGGGGTTTGTGATTTAAATAGGGTGGTAAGGTGAGGCATCACTGAGGATGAGAGGAATTGAGACCTGAAAGAGGAGGGAGTCTTGCAGAATCTGCGGGAAGAGAGTTCTAGGTAGAGGGAAGTGCAAGGCCAGTGTGGTGATGGGGACTGGGCAAGGGGGGAGGGAGGCTGAGGGGTGGCGGGGGCCCCGCAGCGTTGCGGCTTTTATCTTTTATCGCGGGTGAGCCGGGGAGCCCGCAGCCAGTTTCCCCAGAAGAGGAGCACTGGCTGCTCAGCTGAGACCAGACGCCTGGGCGGTGGCGGGAGCGGGAGCAGAACGCCAGGTGCAGGTCGTGTGGTTGCAGGGGGGTGGTGTGGACCAGGCAGGGGCGTGGTGAGGATGTGTAAAAGAACACTCTCAGAAAACCTGCATTCTTAGAAAATTATTGGTCTTTTATTTAATATACCAGTAATTATTATGAAATTTTATAACTATGACATAAAGGAAAAAATTCATAGACCGTCATTTTTGTAACTTCGGACTATACATAATTTTCTGAGTAAACTTACCTTGTCCTGTTTGAAGCTGGAATTTTCTTTCTAGCTTTTTCTTTGCCAGGATCAGCTTATTAGATAACATTTGCTTTTTGCTATTATATCAAACAAATTAACTTATTACTGGAGTGTTCTTCCCTCTAGGTTTTTCTGCAAATTTTCCCATTGATGTTTTTTCCTATTTAACCATAGGAAACTGGGTTTTAATCATAAAATTGATGAGAGGTTGAAACCATGTTGAAACAGTATGTTGCTCTGGCCTTTTCGTTAGTAATCGTACCAGCTGTAGGTTTCTGTTACATTTTTCCTACCCAGTCTCTGATCTTTTGTATTATTTCCCCTTTTCTTCACATTCCTCTAAAAGCTAGGTAATGAGGAACAGCAAGAAAAACTGCTCAGGGAGTGGCTGGACTGCTGTGTGACTGAGGGGGGAGTTCTTGTTGCCATGCAGAAAAGCTCTCGGCGGCGAAATCACCCCCTGGTCACGCAAATGGTAGAAAAATGGCTTGACCGCTACCGACAGATCCGGCCTTGTACATCCCTGTCTGATGGAGAGGAAGATGAAGATGATGAAGATGAATGAAAAAAAATCAAAGAGCAGAAGACCAAGATATCGGCTCTGCGGGGTGACCCCAACGTTAGTGTGGTGCTCCAGGCAGAGCGCGGGGCGTGGGATGAAGCGACTGGCAGGATCTGCTCGGAAGAGTTTTTTCTGATCCACACCCACTGGAGGTTATGCATCTGCTGTGTGAGGAGACAGAAAACTTTGTTTGGACTACAGTTTGTAAAAACTAATTTTATTAAGACAGAACTTTTTTCCTTTCAAATTGTAAATCTGTCTATAAATGTAACGCATGTGGTTGTGTAAGAAGTTGTGTAATAGGAAAAGTTGTACCAGCATCTTCATATTATTGAGAAGTTGCTTCCAGCATGGGCACCTCCAAAAGCACATGGCAGGTGACTTTGTTCCTTTGAGATGCTCTTTTTTAAGTAGAACCCGGCATTCTACTTCCATCTTAAAAAAATCCATTTTACATTAAGTCTCACTAGAGCTTGTTAGAGATTTGGAAACTTTTTGTACAAATTATCCACAACAAAACATAAAAATAAAAACAAGCTTTTATTTTATTAATAATTTAGTTCCTGTCATGCCCAATAAAATAAAATCAAATCTTTAAGGAACAAATTGTAAGTAAAGTAAGGATTTCTTTTGAGTGAACTTCACATGGACATCGTTCCCTTGTTTTGGAAAGGGTTTTGGTTTCTGCTAGTTTGTCTTTTTAAAGTTTGATATGCCCCTTTTCAGTATTTGTATTTATTTGTTTGGAAGAGTGCCCTTGAAGTGAGGGTTCTTCTGCCTTAGTCTGGCAGCAGGCTCGTCATGAGGAGTTACTCCGTGGATGTAAATTAGCGCTTGGGGAGCGGGCCCACTTGCAACTGAATGAATGAATCGTGTGAAATTTGCTCACTTGACCCTATGACAACTCCCAAGTTGCCATGCAGAGGGAGGGTCTTTGGATTCTGTCTTTTATCATCAACTCTGCTTTAAGCAAATCGTGTTAGAAAGGCATGCCTTTGCTTGGGCTAATTGGGAATATCAGTTCAGTACAAAGATTTAAGGATGCAGTAAGGTGGTAAGTGCATTGTATAATGAATTTCTCAGTGAGTAGTCTGAGAATTTTTGCATGTTGGTTAACTGTGGCCATTCTTATTTAAAGTTAAAACTATAATCTTAGGTAGAAAACTTTCTATAAAGTATTTGACCACTTCAGGTATACATTGAATACTGGGTAAAAATTTCAGACCTATCTCAGGAACACAAAAAGACTTCGTGTCCTGATAAGCACTTTGTAGACTATTGGTGTGGCAAAGAATTTGAAGACACACACACACACACACTCACACACTCTTTTCCTCCCTCTGATGAAAAGGCTGTGAAAACCTTTACATATTTGCTGCTGCTTCTAAGTTCTGTTTAGATGGTATTGAAATGTGCACAACTTCAGATTTGATGCTGGAATACTAAAAACAGAAAAATGCCTATGAGATGTCATGTTTTTAGTTCTTTCTTCCCTCTGTGAACATTGAAAGGTGTTCCCAGGATGAAAGGATCGCTTTTGCTGCATGCTAACATTTGCAGGAAAAAACTTGCAATTTGATTCCATGTAAGTGAATTTTGATACATTATAATAATGGTATACATTACTGTTCCAAGTGGTTAATGTTTTCTTACAAATTGACTCTTTGTCAATTCTTTGCTTTCATTTTGGACAGTAATTAATTAAGTTTTTAGAACGCTGTCACCTTGACTACCTAGCATAGAATATAGCACCCGTATAAACTTTTCTCCACATGTAGGAAGGATTCTCAGTGGCCAGACATCCTCATCCTGTACTAGTTGCTGTTAAGCAGAAACTACCCTCCCAATTCAAGAAGCCAAAGAGCAGTGTTTTGAGGGAAAAGCGTCTAGTTGTTAGGGTCTCCATCAGTCCGTGGTGGCCAGAAAGCTGCAGGCTCGGTGTTTAGGCTCTGTGTGTGGTGTCTTGTTGAGCGGTGCTTCCCCTGAGGTGCCGCGTTACTTATTTATTTATGG